ATGCTCCGTTCGTAGCGATGCCAGGAGCCCTAGTAGCGAACCTTGCCCCTAGTTGCGAACCTTGCTCCTGGTAGTAAGGCCAGGTGCGCCCCATTCGTAGCGTCCGATCGCTCTGTTCGCAGCGATGCCCTTTGTTCCTAGTAGAAATGCCCTTGTTACTATAGTAGCTTCTTGTTACTCGTAGCGATGGCCTCCAACCTAGCAAGAGCTACTAGTAGCTTCTGGGTGGGTGGTCGCGGTGGCCTGGAGCAAAAGGTGGGTCTGGGTATGGACATTCCCATCAGACTGATATGCGCACGGATCAGCTGGCAGTTGGGGCACTGGGATGGACTGGGGGTGAAGATTGATATCTTCCAAACATTAATAGCTTGAGGCCAGCAGCCCCGTTCGTAGCGTCCGAACGCTCCTATAGGTCAAAGGCTGGAGCCCTGGTCACCATGTAGCACCATGTAGCCTGAGCTTCCAGGTAGGTCGTGCCTGTCGGTCTCATGCCATGACCCAAGCTCGAGGTGGCTGCTGGCGAGCAGCAGTGGCCGATCATGCAAGAAGGGCGAACCTGATCTGGACATTTTGATGGGGAGCTGTGGAAGATCGCTGCTCGTCCCTCTTTTCGTTTGCTTTTCTGGGTTTTGCTTGTGCATTGGTAGATTTTGAAGAGGATCCCCTTTTAGCCTCTTGGGATTGCGTTGAAAGCTCCGCTTCCTTTAGCAAGTGTGGGACGTTTTTGTTGAGTCTGAGAATTACTGGCAGTGAGGAGAAAGCAAGTGCCACCCAGTGGGATCGGGTTGGTAGAGACGGGAAGCCAAACGCGACGTTTCACCCTCTGCCTAGCCAAGGCGAGCGTTACGAAGCTTGGCTGCCACGTGACGTCATGTATATAATATATACCCTGAGCATCTGAACCCTACAAATTTGTCGGGTTTGAAAACAAACCTCGGGTTTAGCCGTGACATAAGGGAAAACCTCGGGTTTTTAACAAAATCCTTGTGTTTTGCCACAAAACCCTCGATAGCCATGTGCAGGTGCTCCATATTCATTTTCTCCCGCCGACTTATCAAATTTTCCGTGGTCTAAACATGTTTCACAATATGTTAACAACATTCAACACTCTTGTCAGGAAAAGTTCGGGTCCGTGATTGAGAGCTCCGATAACCCGTGACAAACCCGTGACAAACCCGTGTCAAACCCGTGATTATCCCGTGTCAACCCGTGATTTTGGATGAAAAACCTCGGGTTTTCAGAAAAACATTATGTTTCCCAAACTCGTGACGAACCCGTGACGAACCCGTGATTATTCCGTGACAACCCGTGTTTTTTTCACGGGTTTTAGGGGGGTACAATAGTTGCATTTTTGGTTGATATTTTTTTCGTTCTGATCATCAACCTGGGCTTTTTGAGTTTGAATTCAAGTTCCTGTGGCCCGGCCTTCGAAGATGGCATGGGCGGAAAAGAACACCAAAATGGGAAACCTCGTGTTTCCTCCAAGAACCTCGTGTTTTGGGATTAACCCTACGTTTTTGTCGTGTTTGGAGGCACAAGGTATAATATATATATATATATATACACTCAATCTCAGGGAGGCAGATATTCGGGCTTGACACACAATAAGAACGTTTGTGACATTTTGCCTCTGCAGCGTGTTGGACGGATTTGTCCTGCGAACAAGAGCCAACTGAAACATATCGAATCCAAAAAGAGGTTTAAAGCTGATCTTGAAGTCGCCCAGATTGCAAGATATGATGCAAGAGACCTATATAATTAGAATGGTAATCTGATCAAGGTTTCAAAGGCCTATCTTTGTCTTCAAAGGCCGTATCACTCAGTACTCAGGACACATTCTGGCTTTCTACTCCTCATCAACACTGAAGGGCTTCAATGGGCCCAGCGTCAGACCTCTTTACAGGACCGTTCCGCATTGCGGAGCAGCCGAGTGCAAGCGCGTTTTTCTTTTTCGAAGTGCTCAGAGAAGAGCACTCGTGTGATCAGGGTGGCCCCCGGATCATGTTTTCAAGAATCAAGCGGGAAAGCAGCGACTGTTTGTAGAGGAGCATCTTCTACAGTCAGACTTGGCAGACTTGTTTTACTTCGATTCGCAAGGGCAACGTGTCATTCGCGAGACCGGAGTGGCATCTTTCAGCGCTGAGGAGCAAGGCGCTGCGTGCGTCTCGGCATTGGCGGAACCCAAGAGCTTGCAAAAGCTGCTGCTTCGTCAGGAGCTGCCCGTGTTCCGTGTTCCGTTGCCCGTGTGCACGCCAAGGTCCGCACTCCTTGTCGAATTTGACGTGCAGCTTGTGCTCCCCAAGCATTTGTCATTACTTCACAGCCACCGATGGGAAATGGTTTAGGGACTCCTCTTAAATGTTTTCTGAAGGCTCTTAGCTTTCGGGAAGGATTCGGAGCAGGGATGTTGTTATTTATGACCTCTCTGGACGCTCCAGTAGCACGTGATTTGTGCCGCGACGCAGCACGTGATTTCTGCCGGACGACGGCAGGAGAAGACGCACATTCAACTCTCAGCCTGCACCAGGGTATGCTTTTCAAAGGCAGCCGAAAGTCTGGACAGCCACGAAACCGCATTGGTTGGGGTTTGGTTGTCGTGTCCCTCTCGTTGGTCAATCAGTACAGGGTACTGATGTTGGTGTTTTCTTGTGTATTTGAATAATAAACTATATATTCGAAGGTTAGTACCATTGCAATGAACAGTGAACCTGCAAATTACAGGCCAGTATGACGAGCTAGATCAAGTAGGAAAAGGTGAAGAACACCAGTGGTTTCTATGTACTCGAATTACGTACTACAGGTTGAAGGCCTACTAGGAGCAAGGACGCTACGTTCGTAGCTCCTGGCCTTACTACTAGGAACAAGAAGCCGCAAGTAACGACCAAGAACATCTCTACTCCGTGACTCCGAGGTGACGATGACGAGGAGTTCTAATGACGATGCTCACGACGAACACGACGAAATGGCCGAGAAGACAACGTTCGATGAACAAAAACCCACCATGAAGCATATATACATGTTGGGTTTTGTGACAGCACCAGTCACGCTTCATCAACTGACTGACTTCTAGCTGTGTCCAAGTCTCGTGACTTACGAGCCACTACGTCGCGCGTATCACTTCACGCATCTTCACATCGTTTAATCACCGGTTTTAACCATTTGCTTTTCACCTCTTCACCAGGGAGAGGTTTCGGGCTCATGATGAGCAGGCATCGACCGAAGGAAGCGTGGTCGAAGCCAGATCCAGAGAGCTTTCGGATCTTCCCCAACGTTTCTCAGCCCGGAACAAGGACTCTACGAACGGGGCTCCTGGCCTTACTACTATAGGAGCAAGAAGATAGTAGTAACAAGGGCATCGCTATTAGGTTCCTTTTGCTACTAGGTTGGAGCCCGGTGTAGAGCCTCTGGTGGATAGGTCGAAACCGATAGAGGCCGGTCAAGGATGCTCGAGTCACATCTACCGGTCATGGATGTCTATGGTCGAGGTTTTACGTTTTACACTGCTTTACAGTTGCATGTGCTTTACAGTTTTGCATCTTTACATTGTTTTCAATACTGAGAAAGTGCAGATAAGTGCAGGCTTGTGCCTGCAACCAAATGAGCCTCAAAAGCAGTTTTTGGACGTAGCTGTTGTGCCTCTTCGACCGCTTCCTCCGGCCGAACTTCCACCCTGCTCGGAAACCGCTTCCGAAGCAAACCTCCGCTGGGAGCTGGAGCCGGAGCGAAAAGAGATTTGATTGAATACGCCCTGGAACTTCGATGAAGCTAGCTTTTTGATGCTGTTCGTGCCTTTTGTAGGTTAGAGGCCATCGCTACTAATTAGGTTGGAGGCCATCGCTGCTAGGGTGGAGGCCATCGCCACTAGGTTGAGGGCCATCTGGGTTATGCGGTGAATCGCTGCATCCATGTGGTTCTGGGCTTCACACCAAGGATGTTGAATGCTTATGTTTGTCCATTTGGATGCCTTTGATGCTGCACGAAACCCATGAGCTATATCGAACATGGATATGCTTTATATATAGTAAGGAAAGGTATAGAGGGACCTTCATGCAACCTTGGGAGTGTCTTACTTTCATCTTCCGAAATATACTAGACACCTAGCCTAGCGCCAACGTTCGCCGGTGAGGACCATGTTGGAGGCCATCGCCTCAAGTAGGAGCGATGCCGCGAGCCGCGCGATGTGGGCTTCACCCCGCGAGGCCTCGAGCGGCAGCTCCTCTGTCTCCAGTTGCAAGCTCGCCCCCACGGCGGGGTGCCCAATCGAGGGGCGAGCGAAACTCCCAAAAGCGAGCGAAACGAACTTCACCCACTTCGTTCGAAGAAAAGGTTTAGGTCTCGTGACCATACAGTACATTGCAGTGCTGTTAGGTACTCATACCAGAACTGCTCTCAGCTGTTTCACCCCAGCCGCTGTTCTCCAAAGATTTCACGAAGCGATTGTATCTGGTGCAATGTCGAAGCGCTTGGGCTCAACTCTGTGAAGCGCAGAGCTGAGGATGTTGCCCGCAGAGCTTTGGCCTCAAAGAAAGGCATCATGTTTTAACTCCTTTTGAACTTCCCAAAGATTTCTGAAGCTGTGGCCTCTAGGACCTTCACAGATCCTGCAGAAGCTGACGAGTTGAGTTGCATATTCGTGTCCACAAAAAGATAGAAAAGAGATAACTAAAAAAACAACTCATAGCAATGGCCTCCACCCTACTAGCAATGGCCTCCAACATAATAGCGATGGGCTCCATCCTAATAGCAAAGCACAGAATTGCATATGCACAAAACAAAGACAACCGGATTCTGAAGACCCTTTGCCACAGAGTTGCTTTTTTCTTGCACCGGAACAGTTCCTGTCTCCCAAAAATTCATCCGCCAAGTGCCTGTTGAAACTCTAAAAGGATCTGAAAGGTCTTGTATCTTCAGGAAACTGCATAGTACCAGGCTCATGGCCGGTGACAGCTGAACTGTTGACCCTTAGAACCGTCATCAAAAACGGTGGTGATCACTGAGCCATGAAAGTGGTGATCACTGGTGGTTTCGGCTTTCTGGGCTTGCACGTGTGCAAACGAAGCTGGGCCGGCATGGGTGGATCTGGATTCCTTGGGATACATGGATTTCATCCAACCTACTAGCGATGGTACCCAACCTGCAAAAGGCACAAAGGAGTAATTACTGACAGTAGTGATCCCTTTCATATGGAAGATGCACATGATCCCGTTTGAGAGGAACAGTTCCCATGATGGTTGGGCAGTCGTCTAGTGTTCCAAGCGGTTCTTTCGGTTGGAAAAGCTCAGTCCTTCTGCTACCGGTGCCGTACCAGGAAGTGAAAACACTTGAAGACAGCGCAGTGTGCGCTTAATTCTTCTGCTAAAACACTATGCATCCAAGAACTCCCAGCGAAGCGCTCGCTTGCCGATCGGGTTTCACGGTTTTCTGCTTGACTAATTGTGGTGACTCTACTCCACCAAGGGGTGTGTCCACTGTGATCTTGGACTTTGCATGAACACGTTTGATTCAAACACGCCCGTCTAGTACCGCTGCCACACTCCGCGCCATGCTGCTTTGAATAGAGTGAGAGAGAGAGGGAGACAGCGAGTCGCAGTCGCAGGCGTCACACGCGTCACACGGTGCGGTTGATTCCCATGGTTGGTTGGCTTTTCGTCAAAGAAGATATGAGTGACCGGACTGACTGGACCGAATGGACTCGACTCTGTGGCCGGACCTAGGTGACCGGACCGGTTACTTGGGAGACTTGTTTGACAGGTTCACTGGGGAAGGTGCGGCAAGACTGCGCGTGGAAGACTGCTTCGCTGATGTTTTGAGCGGATATCTTGCAATCCAGGACTCTTGGCCATTGGAGAGCTTGCGGATGCATCTTGGCCATGGATGATTGAGAATGATCGAGAAGCCATGCAATTTTGTCGGACTTCCTTGTTTTGAGGGAAGCCGGTAGGAGTTTCAAAATGTGCAAAAGAAAGTATATATAAGACAACATCCTTGTTGCTTCCCCAACTCTTATACAAACAAACAGATTCGCTCCAATCGGCTGGACATTTGCTTCCTTCATTGCCTCACCTTTTGAGCAGCAACTATATACTGTATACTTCATATAATGATGGATGGCACGAAACCTTTCCTCCACGGTCCAGTGCCGGGATGTAGGTCCTGCGTGGAACCGCAAAAAGGGAAGGGTGGTCGATAGATCGCTTGTATGCAGAATGGTCCAACTCGCCGTGCACCCATCGACTCAGGTCTTGTGATTCGACCCTGTTTCCACCTCCCCTGGCTGGGGCTACTAGTAGCTTCTATAGCTACTAGTAGAAATTCCCTTGTTACTAGCAGCTTCTTGTTTCTAGTGGCCTCCAACCTAATGGCAATGACCTCCACCCTAGTAGCGACGGCCTCCAACCTAATAGCCAGGAGCTACGTTCGTAGCTTCTCTCAGGTCTTGTGATTAGACCCCGCTTCCACTTCCCCTGGCTGGTGAGTTCAGGCGGAGGACCAAAGCCAGGAAGTCTCGCAGATCATCCTCTTTGATCAAGGCTGAAGCTGTCAGGAAGGACGGTCACAGTAGGGATGGCCTTTGTCCGACTGGGAAGTGGAACGGAAGCGTCCTTGCTCCTAGTAAGACCAGGAGCCCCGTTCGTAGCGTCCTTGCTACTAGTGGCGATGCCCTTTGCTCCTATATACTAGCGTCCTTGTTCCCCCAAACATGGGCCACTTTTCCAGATTCGGTTTGGCCAGACAGGCTGGAACAGGATTTCAACATCTGTGCATTTTTCAGCCACCACAGTTGGACCCCAAAACCGCAGAGTGCGAAAACACCGCTGTGCGTAGCAATGGCCTCCAACATAGCGATGGCCTCCAACCTAAGAGCGAAGGCCTCCTCCTTTTTGCTTTTCCAGTCTGGGCCGTCCAGAGTTCTCCCACGACGGCATCCAGGCACTCCAAAGGGGATTCCGGAAGACCCCCGGGTGCAGCTGCGGGTGGGCGACATCGCCGATCCGGCGCAAGGGCAGCAGCTGGTCGACGAGGCGCCTTCTTCGGGACCTCACACAACAAACGAGAGAGGGATCCGGGTGAAGGGTAAACGATTGGGTGGTGCCCATGAAATAGGGGCTAAGAGTAGAGATGTTTCAATGAGAGTAGACTGACAGGCCGCTAGTTGGATGACTAACCCTCAGTCGCACCCAGATTCTTGCCTGTAGCTTGGACTTAGATCACTTGACTGAGTTGTAGCTTTCAACTGTACATACCTGTAGTCATCCGAAACTCCGGTGATGAACGGGATATAGCTGGTGAGTGAGTGAGTCAGACGGTGAGTGAGTGGATGGGTCTTTCTCCAGATTCTCCCCACGCGGGTCGTGTTTCGGACGAAAAGAGCACCTCGATTTGTGTTTCAGCTGCTTCTTGGTACGAACGTAGTAAGAATGCTCCCAGTAGTAAGGCCACAAGCCCCGTTCGTAGCGTCCTTGTTCCTAGTAGTAAGGCCAGGAGCCCCTAGTAGCTTCTTGTTGCTGCAGAGTCTGGGAGGATGGCATGGTGATCTTCCACTTGGCCTCAGTGATGAGCGGCCAAGGCGAGAAGGACTTCGACCTTTGCTGGCGTGCTGCTGGGATGAAGCATGTTGTTAGCGCAACGCTGCTGGGTCGTGTTTGCAGCAACGAACTTCTTTTCACCCATGTAGTCGGGGTGGTGGTGATGGTGGTGGCGGTGCTTACTCTCATGGTCCTATTGCAGAGTCTTGCTCGACCATGAACATCATGAACACGCCTGTCTTTTAAAGGTTTGAATTCCATATAGGAAGTGTTCTCCCAGACGATGAGTTCGAATTCGGGAAGCGATCCTCTATAGTCTCTAGAGAAAGAAGGTTGCCCAGTAAAGCTCGGAAAAGACACATCCAAACGTTTCGATTCAAGACCAACCAACGTAGCAACCAACATAGCAACAGAGACGTTTAAAACAAATGAGAAACTGAGCCTATGTCCCAGATGTCTTTTGTCCGATAGGGAGCATGCAGAAGGGAATTTTAGAGTTGTTGATTCAGAAGCTATCCTGCTTAGAAAGTGCATTTAGACACCACTGTTGCTCCACAAATTACTTACTCGCCCCTTGTCATACTTTGGGATCACTTATGGCACTCGAAATCAGTAAAAATAACACGTCGGTCACTCCGGAGATTTTGAGGTGAACATGGAGGGCACTCGAAATTTGTTAGAAGCCTGCCGGCGAAGCTCCTGGGACTGCACACAGCGACAAGAGCTCCTTGGAGCCTTGTTAAAAGCTTTGTTAGAGAATTGAGTCAAGCTTGAATCAAACAATTCGAAAAGCGTAGCACTTGGAAGCGTATGCTTTGATTCCCTTTTGACTGAGCACCGCATAGCACCGAATAATGCTGCACAATTAGATGATCACCGAGGGCCACAGAATGGCACAGAGCCAGAATCACGTCATTTCACCAAATCTCCAAATTCTTCAGGCCCTCCTGTACAGCCTTGGATTTTGGCAGACTGTCTTATCAATTGCAGGGTGTGCACCAGAACGGCTTTCAGGTTCGATTCTACTTCTGAATTCTCTCTCCCCGGCCGAAGCTCCGCAAAGGAGCCCTGCCGCCAACGGAAGGATATGCCGGTCCCAGACACTCCATGTAGAGCCTACATTTGCCTACAGTGCGATGCTTGAAGGTCTGGGTCAATGCATATGTCCATACGTTGATGGTCTGGGTATGTGATCAAAGTTCAGCACATTTCAGAACAACCGTCGGCTTCGAGTCTACAATCCTTCCGGCCTGAGTCCACAGGGCTTGAGTTTTAGGCCTCAGGCTGCTGGTGCTTCAACATGTGTTGTTGTTTTTACTCATTTTTCGTTACTGTATAGAGTATATCAGTATATTATCCAACCAAACTCTGCCATGCCCGAAGGTCGAAGTAGGCTTTCGCAAAAGATCCGTCCTTCCACTTCGGAACCGGAAGTTCTTTTTTGTTGAAACCGGTGCATCAGATAGTGCATCAGGGGTCCCTTCAATCTTCCATCTTCCATCTGTTCAAGGCCTTCCGCTCCACCCTGCTCTCCCTCCGGCGCCAGGGCGTGGCTGCAAGTTCATCTTCGCCTCCTCGGGCGCCTGCTTCGGGGAGCGGCCACCAGGGCCGGAGACGGACGGCACCAAGCTCTTGCCGGAGACCAGCTATGGTATGAGACTTGGTGTGTGGGGAAGGATAGGAACAAGTGCCTTACTAGTAGTAACAAGTGCCTTACTAGTAGTAACAAGAAGCTCCTAGGAACACGTGCATCGCTTCTAGTAACAAGTGCCTTACTAGTAGTAACAAAGAAGCTAGTAGGAACAAGTGCCACGCTACTAGTGGGGAAGGAGTGTTCCGGATCAGATGGGCCGCCGTGATATAGGCAGCCTTGGTACATCAACGCGCTTGGTGGGTCGGATCATGTGCTGCACGTGGTATCAGAGCGGCGTGGTCGTGAAATCAAGTCTTTTTCGTTGGTCGTTTCTCCAAAAACCTTTCCCCGACAACTCAAACACAAAGGTCCAGTGACCAAAACCATCTCCCTCATTGCCATCGTGTTGAGCTCTGCGTTGCCCCCCAACGTTGGACCATCGGTCCTGCACGTTTTCCTCTCATTGCTCCCAAGAGCATCAAACAAGAGTGCCCACACCAACATGCTTACAAGATGGTCAGCGCCACACAACAGCACCCCTCCTGAGAGTATCCCACAAGAGCATTTCACAAGGGCGTGGTTTTAAGGACGTTTTGGAAGAGTGCTTTGCAGAAATGTGTTAGGGCATCGCTACTAACTAGTAAGAAGGGCATTACTACTAGTAGCTAGAAGCTACTAGTAACAAGGGCTGCACACAAAGCATGTCACACGCGAGAGACACCTTCGTGCCATGCACTGCCATTCCGTCCAACAAACTGTGGAACACGATGCTGTGACTGAGAATCAAACTGTTTGAAGGCTTCCGGTGTCGTTTGAATACTCGATCTGTTTCTTTGCAATGTGTAGCCCATTCGCTAGTAGTGTCCTCTTGCTCCTAGTAGTAAGGCCAGGAGTGCCCCTAGTAGCGTCCTTGTTCCTAATAACGATGGCCTCCAACCTACTTGCGATGGCCTCCACCTAATAGCGTCCTTGTTACTAGTAGCTCCATTCCAAACGAGGACCAAGGCTTGCTGTGAGTTGATCATCAACGACTACACACGAAGGAAATTCCTGGATGGCCGGGTGGCACGCTTGCCGACCGTGATCCCACGTCCGGAGCGGGGGAGATGCGGGGGATATGGCGACTGGATGTACATCCTGAGGCTTTTTCAGAGGTGGAGGTCCCTCCTCCAACATATCGGGGCCGCACTTTTCTGTTTGTTATTTTTCAAGGACTGATCAGATGAGTCTGGTTCTCAAGTGAGCCCATCAGTTAAGCCTGAGGGAACCCCTCCTCAGGAAAGTTGTTTTTGCTTCTTGGCTTGCCCACCCAACTTCTATCGCTACAAGCGCTACCGCCCTTCCCCACCTTGACCTTGCCGCTGCGGAGAAACGGGCATGGCTTGCCAAACAGAGCGCCTGGTGAAATCAGTGTTTGTTCGTTCACATGGGTAACCCATGCACTGTTGGTCTCCAGATGTTTTCAGAAACATCAATCAGAGACAGGAGTTCCTCTTCTGCAGGAACCATGAATCAGAATATGTGCATTGGGGCAAGTGGTGTGCCTCCATCAGGAGCCCAATAGTGGTTTGCCAGCAGCATTCTCCGATGTCCTTCGAGAACCCTTGTGGAAGCGCGACTGCATCCTGCCTTTGCCACCAGACTTGCGTCATGCAGTCTGCGGCTATCGGGTGCTTGTAAGGCAAGCGGCGAACGTGTAGATTGTTTATTTGCGTGGCAGTTGCTTTTGTAATTGTATTGTCATAAGTCACTTGTGGAAGGCTTAAAAGTTACTGGAGTCGTCGAGGAGTTGTGGTGGAGTCATTTCGGTCAAGTCGACTTGACTTTCTGTGACCGTGGTGTGTAGCAGGAATCTCATTCACTTGGCCAATCTGCCAGCTGCAGCCTTTGAGTCTTCGGATCGCTGCATGAATCTGCCGTGCCGTGCCGAAACACTCGAGGTCGAGCGAAGTGCTTTTTGCAGCGTTCGTGCAAGCGGTAGGTGAAGCAAACATGAAGTAGTAGTGCAGTAGTGGCAAGTATACAATAGGTATGTATCAGTATAGGGGTTCAGATTCGGAAGCTTTCTTTGCAGAATTGCTTGAGCAGTGAGCAGAGAAATAGCATCAAACACGTTCGTGCGTTTCGCAGCTTCTCTTCTCACACACTTTCCAGTTCGCCCGTGTAGTTGGAGAATCCCTGGATGTACTGGATGTACACCCATCATGTGATCCAGAAAGCCAGTAAAGAAGCGTTAAGACTGAGACCATTGTGAACAAGAAGCTATATACTAGGGGCTCCTGGCATCGCTACTAGGAGCAAGAACGCTACTAGGGGCTCCTGGCCGTACTACTAGGAGCAAGGGCATCGCTACGAACGGAGCTTTTTCGCTGAGACGATTGTGCCGAATTGAGACGATGACTCCATGTCTTCGCCGGCCCCAGCCTGGGCCGGCCCAGGTGTTTATCGGTGACCCTGCACGATTTGCACGAGGCCTTGAAACGCATCGTGGACCCTTCCAAGCTGGGACAAGTGAGTGCTTTGGCATGAAGTACATTGTGTTCCTGGAAGGAACCCATTCAGCGAAAACCAGCGAAGCGTGCCAATCCTTTGCCTTTGACCCCTTGAGAACAAATAAATGAACTTCAACTGGTGAGACCCGATAGTCCTTTTCTTTGCCAAGAGCCCCATTAGGATTGAAATGTGAGAGCTTTGGATGTCGTAGCAAGATTGCTGAAGAATCCGGGAGAAGGACCATTATCACTTTTTTTGGCACCCTGCTAGTTACTTCCAATATCTTCCAATTATTCATGGCTCTTGTTGCCCCATCGAATCAAAGATATTGGGAACCATCAGCAATAGAATAATCAAACAGCTTATTATCAGCGCTCAACATAGGTCACCAGCGCATACTAGCACCAGAAGACAGGAAGTTGGACATGAGTCAAAGCTGAAAGACCACCTGGCGATCGGGTAGACTGGAGCCAGATAGCTATGACCATCCTCCAAGAATTAGCCCAACTGTCCCAAAATGTTGTGGAATCATGTGTTCTTATGTGCTATTCGTTTTCCATTCGAAGCTTTCCCGAAACTGCAGACCCTTCGTCACAGCTTCGAAGCCTTCGTCCCGTCCCACTCGCTCCAGTCGGGCCGAGGCTATGCCCCCGACGAGGCGCTGGCGGCGAAGCTGAGAACCTTCCATCACGACATGGACGCCGAGCGCGCACGGCGCCTGGGCATGGTGGGAGCCCCTCGGCGTGGCGCCACGGTCAAGGGCGACTGCCGTTTGGCGATCAGGGCAAAGGGCAAAGGTCAAGGTACCTGACGTGTCGTTTGCGGAACTTCCAATATCGCAAAGACTCTTGATTAGACTGACGGAGTTCCCAAACAGGCCAGGGGTACGACTGGGGCCAATCTTTCCAGTTCCATGGATCGTCGGGGCACGGGGGTATTAAACGTTTGTGTGCCCCAGTGAGTGGGAGGGGAACAAACGTTTCTCATGAGCGAGAGCGGAGTCCAGCAACGGAAATCCACATGAGTGATGTTTAGGGAAAACTCGTTAGACCATCACGCTACGAACGGGGCTCCTGGCCTTACTACTAGTAACAAGAAGCTACTAGGGGCTCCTGGCATCGCTACGAACGGAGCAAGGACGCTACTAGGAACAAAGGGCATCGCTACATATGTTCGAAGGAACAGGTGTTTTGTGTTTCTACGTTCGCTTCTTGTTACTAGTAAGGCACTTGTTGCGAACGTAGCGATGCACTTGTTCCTAGTAGCGAACCTTGTTTAGGGAAAACTCGTTATATAGACCACCACACAGTCAATCTTCACCAGTGCCTTGGAACGTCCTGACGTTGCACCCTTGCCTCCAACAGCGGCCTCAGACCTAGCAAGCAATATTAATTTAAAGGCCTTTCTTCCTATTCGTGGTTCTTTGTTTCCAATAGCGATGGCCTCCAACCTAGAATCGATGGCCTGCAACCGATATAGCAATGGCCTCCAACCTGAGTGTGGTACCGAAGTATGGTCGCTCCCAAGGACAGTTCTGCTGCGGCCATTGCCGCCGATTTTGCGGCGGAATATGTGACTGGACATCCAGAGGGTGAGGACGAATCTCCAGTTCTGCTTGCATCAACTCCCCCCACAGCCTCTACCTGCAGTCTCAAAGTACCTCCGAAAATGAGTAGAAGTATACCGCCTGTTTATTAAGGTCAGGTCCCATTGTCTACGGTACAAACGAGGTCGGGTCCATGAGTAGAAGGTGTTTGTGGCCAAAATCAGGAATCCTCTTGGCCAAGGGAACCAAAGGGAACCAGAGTCCGAGAAAATCAATTGACCGTGTCCGACTGTATCATACATTATGCATGCATGCATAACATAGAGAGAGAATGGTGCCATGTTCTGTTTTCTTTCTCAGTGGATCCTGCCCAATTCCTTCGCAAATCGCAGCACAAAGCAAGGGCCTGTTTGACTTGTTTCTTTTCAATATCTTGGTTGCTCCACGATCTTCGATTCAGAACATGTCAAATGCGTAAAAGCGTTGGGACTGAAGGACGAACTATACGAACTCTTTCTGGCTATTTCCGTGTCAAGAGGTAAAATGTTGGAGGACCTCCCGACATCAGCTTGTAGCAGTTGCAGTGGTTTGTCTTGTGGTGGCCAAGTGATGAACTTAGATAACCTTGGATTAATTATGAATTGTTCAGGTTCTTTTATGGTTGCAATATCTAAGTTCCATCTTAATGTTTCTTCTAAACCCACCAATTCCAAGTGCTTGACACTCAGACTGGACTGGTATGGAGAGGTGCTTTACTTCATCTGTGCTTGCCATCGTCCCAACTTCGACTGGACGCGGCGTCCCCGATTGTTTTACATTCGTCCAGAACTGCAGGAGTTCTTCCTCCGGTGCCGTCAGGTGGATGAGGCGTTGCTGAAGCCCGTCATGGAAATCTTCGAGGAACCGAGGTGAGGAGTCTCCTGCCGTAGACGAGGGCTCTCGCAGGGCTCTCCCCTCCCGCTGTTGGAGGTTGAGACGAGACTTTTCCAAGGGATTTTTTGCCCGGTGTGGTTTCGTTTTTTTTTGAATCTTGTGCATGCTTCGAGTTTCCCAGCGTCATTCTCTGTCAAGAATTGGCAGATCTTTCGCGATGTCCCTCGCTTCAGAAGTCTAGCTTATTGTTGAAGGCCCAAGAATGCTTGAACAATGTTTATATAAGTTATATACATGGCGGAAGATGTGGGAAACAGTCATTCTTCACTATAGATGTCATCCCATTGTTTTTTTATACATGGGGCTTCTGTAACCATATATATCAGAAAGAGCCTTGCTAATGACGCAGGCCAGTTCCCTCTCTCCCGCTGTTTCTTCCATCTTCCGTTTCAACCATGGCCTTTCCATCCGGACTCCAAACCGACGGACGTTTCTTCGCGCCGAAACCGGACGGTGAGGCACTGGCGGACCTTCGGCAATGAGTATGTGAACGTCTACCGCGTCGAGCCTCGACGTGAAAACGGCCGGTCACGGCCGTCACGCGGAAAAGCCCGGTGTCAAACGGGCCGCCAGGTGGAACGTCATGGGCAAACATGATTGCTTTGAAGTCATAGGAGCGGGTTTCAAGCTATAAGAGCGACGGCCTCCAACTAAGAATGATCCTTAGTCAGGGATACTGGCGGCGATCTGGGAGAGGACTCCTGTCAAACAATGTCAAACTTCACTTGCTCCACAACTAGTTTTCTCCTATGCCTCCATACGGTTTTGGCAGTTCAAGAACAGTTCTTTGAATGATTTGAATGCAACATCTGCTTATCAAGCACACGTGACGTTTGCCATATCCAGGCAAGCAATAGTTTACAATGTAGATATAAAGGCAGGTTCCACATCGAAAATGTTCAGGTGCACGTTCCTGTCAGCTACTTGCTACTAGTAGCTCCTGGCATCGCTACTACGAACAAGGGCGTCGCTACTAGTAACAAGAAACTACTATAGGTTGGAGGCCATCGCTATTAGGTTGGAGGCCGGATCGCTCCTTTGGTTTCGGGTCCGCGCTCTCACCGAGTCGCAGCGAGTCGCAGCGGTGTCGCAGCGAGGAAAATGCTCCCGGCGATACCACGTTGATGCATATCCATCGCAACTGGGCCATGAGCCAGCAGGGGAAGGGAACGAAATCGAGTGGACACCCCGTGCCCTTCGGCTGATAGCAGAGCCTCTCCATGCCTCTCCCAACTTCAGGCAAGCTGCGATAGCTGATTGCCAACTCAAGGGATGGGTACTCTCCCGACTCAATAGCAGTTTGGTTCGCCACACGCGGTGTTTTTTTGCCTTGATTTGGCATTTCAAGGTTCTTGTTGGTTGTTAGTTGTTTGCATTGTTGTTGCTACTGCCGGTGTCGAAAGGTGGCACGGTAGCATTCATCAAGAAGTTCATTTGCATGAGCCACATAATTACCGCAAGCTTGCCGAAAATCCCTTCTGGATGGTTGCAGTCCCCACTAAAGCACCCATTTGGGGGTTTTGGTTGTAATTAGCTCAATTGTCAATTAAATCGTCGGTATACCCAACCCTATGATATGGATCCACATACCGTCTGAGAAGGTGATTGGAGACTTTTTGTGTAGGCTTGAAGGGTCCAATTACCTTCTGAGAAGGCAGTAGATCCATAGGGCAAATAACCAGCGTCCGTTTGACCGTCCATCTCAACCCACAGGTGTGGACAGCCTGTACTTTTTCTTCTCATGCTCCCAAGTGCAAGGGACCAAATGGAAGGAGGCGGACATCATGCACGGGAAGGTTGCAGACTGTTGCAGAGATTTTTTGAACATCATCCATATATAGGTTTCGAGGAGCAGGCACGTTTGCCAAAGCAGACATATGTAGGGGCTATGTTGGTGGGAATAGCTGTCCTGGTTGTCCCAAAGCTCATCAATTCGCTTCGCTTCTCCACATACGTGTTCTTCCTTCAGTGGACCCGACCAGTGCTTCCCCCCAAACCTGTTGGCTCCTTTAAAAGGATAGAGTACGACAAAGTCGGTTGAGGTGCTGGTCAGCCCTCCTAAGTCTTTGAGATCTAAGTTAACAGACTTCACAGGTAACGGTCCTTCTTCGACTGAACAGGAGCCCAAGGATGTGATTTTGTTGCTAGTAGCTACTTGCTCCTAGTAGTGCGGCTAGGAGCCCCTAGTAACGTTCTTGCTCCTAGTAGCGATGCCAGGAGCCCCTAGTAGCTACTTGCTCCTAGTAGTACGGCTAGGAGCCCCTAGTAGCGTTCTTGCTCCTAGTAGCGATGCCAGGAGCCCCTAGTAGCTTCTTGTTACTAGTAGTACGGCCAGGAGCCCAAGGATGATACTCTGGAAGATGGAGAAGTCAGATACGGCGACCACGGCAACTGCACGTGCCTTGGTGGGTTCGTGCACACGAAGGAGGGGAAGAAGTGGATGTGGGGCAGTCTTTGTCTTGGGTTCGACTGCTGTGATCCATCAGCTCAGTCGTCAAAGAAGATACATATTTGGCATATGTGTGATTGGCTAAGCAATCATGGATTCCATCACGCGCCACTGTAGTACTTTGCAGAAGACTGGACAAAACAGATGGAACTTGCAATATACTGTGATGATCTGTGATGGAGGGCGAGCCAGTTAAGCAAGAAGGAACGTTCCACTTTGTCGAGATCCACCTCAAAGCATCGACTACAGTTGAGGTGCAGACCAAGTGCAGATAGAATCGCTGATGTTAGTGCAAAGTTATTCCTCTTTCTCAAACGGAGCTGCTCACCTCAGACCTCAACTTTGAATGTCTTCCTAATCTTCCTACAACAGGCCAGGTGGATTCAGCTTTAGTAGGTTTGAGGCCATCGCCTACAACAGGCCAGGTGCATTCAGCCGTATTGGGTCAAAGCCGATGTCAGTCACAACGATGTTCCAGCCCTGTTCCATCAGGTTGACACATCGGAGGCTTGGTTTGGCAGGCCATGGCGGTCTGGGCATGGCGGTGGGGTTTTAACGTCTAAGTCTAAGAAGCAAACAATGTAATTATATATATATAACTATACATTTATCCATGATTATAAATATTTCTTTTTTACCAGTATCTACCTGCCTTAGAGAGTTACTACTTATGGATCTCCATTCCACTCCTCTTGGAAGGTCCAGGTATATACAATACGCGTGATCTTGAATCCAGGGGAGAGGGATGGAAGTTCATCGGGTGGTGTTTTGGTTCTTTGTGCAGTCGAGTCAAATTTCTCCAGGATTGAACTGGCCTCCAAACTAAGAGCCATGCCCTCCAACCTAATAGCTGGGTACCCACCAAAAGGCGCCAAAAGGGAAGTTGTTAGAGGCAGAATATGTGACTTGACACTTGACATTGGTCAGGAATCAATTGGAGCGCGTCCTTTCTCTGAAGGTTAATTGTTTTCTGAGGGCGCATCTTCCTTCTATAACCTGCTAGACTGTCACTAATGACTTCGTGCACGCCGATGAAGCTTCAAGCTTTTTCCATGCATGACATGACCTGACAGTGCCTAAAGCTAACTATGCAGCAGCTTTGAGTATTGTTTTTGGAGATTTTGGCAAGTGCCGTGTGAGATGGAATGTGCAATCATTGCATGTTGAACATGCAGTTCAGCTCAGACTCCAAGGATACACAACAAATGCCGGCCAGTGATGATGTGCTTGGATGTAGAGTTTGCCACTTGGCCGGACTCAATGCTCCTCTCGCCAGCGGACCAATGGTGTTCGACGCTGCATTCCGCTCTAGCACCCTAGGTGCTAAGTCCAAACCTGAGAAAAAGTCGCAGGACAGGACTTGTTGACCCCCCCACATGAACAGAAAAGACTGGGACCGACATGGTGAACCGTCCATGGTTTGGTTTCGGCCGTAAACGCCCTCGTGGCCAACTCGAGGTGCCCTTCGGAGCGGATGCCGCGGCGGGTGCCGCGGCGGGTGCCGCGCCTGCGGCGAAGCGAGCCAAGACGGAGGTGCCCGGGCTGAAGCTCATCAAGGAGCGCCCCGGACGGAACAGCGCAGCGACGGCGGAAGAGGTCGTCTTGAACCGGACCAAAGGCGTGAGGGCCAGCTGTGCATGGTGCGGTTGGGGGTTTACCGCCCAGGAGTCATGGTTATCAGATTGCTTGATGTTTCCATCTGGAACCGCGTCAGGAGCGCCCTGCCTGCCGAGTTTATACCTTGGAAGTGGCGCCCGGCTCGGGATCTTAGAGTTCTTTTTTTGAAAAAATGCCACGTCGGTATGTATGCCTTTAACTTTTGCATATCCTTTCATCCACCAAACCTGGCCAAAAGGAAGACATGTTGCCTGGATAGAATATATTCATTGATCTCCTTTTCAACCGTTTTCAACCACCCCAATGTATGTAAATGGCATACGTTGAAATGCTCCTGAGTTCACATGATTCGACCTCTCCTCGTGCGGACGGTCCGAGAGCTTGCCCCCGCCGTGTCAAAGATAAGAAAGCCTTGCAAGGGCCAACAGTCCTGCATATAGTTACCTCCAACCTATATAATAGCGATGGCCTCCCCCTAGGAGCGTCCTTGTTACTAGGTTTGCGACATATGACAAAGATTGGGTACATTCCATTCCAAAATTCTGGAGGTAAACCGTTCGCGGGTGTCCATGGCTAGTTCCATGGCTTCATGTCTCATCTCCCTTGATCAGCCGAGATCGCCAACGAAATCGGCACGTGATACCAAGAAGTTGTTATTTCACCAAACCGGGAGGTTGCACTAAGAGCTTCTTTGTCATTGTAGGTTCTAAAGGTCGCCGAGGATGTTTGGAACGAGATTGCTGTCTCATACAGAAGTTTGCACAGATTGCAGAGAAACTCAAAGAACACTGTGCTACAACTATATAACTGGCTGGTTGCAAGATTGAGGGTGCCTAGCAAATGCTGGACACCCTAGGCTGGGGGCCTTAGCCCAAAAACCCCTCTTTCTGCGCCGCAGGTGCCACCGCTTCCGTGGCCGTGCCTTTCGCTCGAACGCTGCTGGTGGTCCACAGGGGCGCCCGAGTGCAAGGTCTAGGCGGGTGGCGGAAGGGGGGCTGAAACGGGCACCATGAAGGGAGGGATTTGTTGGAACACCTTCGGTTTGCGGTGTAGTGAACCCTGTAGACACTCGAGTCCGCAAAGAAAACCTCCGCGCACTTGCTCGGAGGCCTTTTAGTCGACCCTCTAAACCAATCCCAAACACGGTAGCCTCAGCAGGTTGGAACCCTAGGGTAACACAAGTGTCTCCAATCACCCTCTGAGAGGTGCCTGTGGCTCAGGTGCGGATTCTCAAGGGGCCCAGTCTTAACATCTTCGACATGTTCGCAGGGTTCCCACCTCAATGGGCCTGGACCGGTTACAGAGAGAGTTCCAGGAACGTATGGAATTCGATGTTGCCAAAGCGATGTTGCCACGCCTTCAGGGGAAACGACCTGCCCCAGTTGCCGCATGCCGCTTCGACCGGTCGACCCCATGACATACACCCGTCCGTCGACCGAACGCCGCCGCCGCGCCAGGCGTCGTGGGCTTGGTGAAGCCGGGCGACGTCTTCTTTCGCGAAGGGCCTGAGGAGTTGAAGCTGGACGTGTGGCTCGACGGGAGGGCAGCACTGCCTGCGGCGCATCTGGAAGGGTGGAGGGCCGCAGTGCGAATGAGAGGAAAATAGACCAACACGGTGGTGAAGGTTGAACTGAGTGGCAAAGCTGGGGAGATTGTCCTATTATTGATTCGGATTCATCTGTTGCAGTCTCCAGTGTGCGTGGGATGGCCCCATGACTTCTACATGAACGATCATTTCTTTCCTCTTTGGGAGCCAAGCTGGTTGTTTGCGCGTTGTAAGACCCCAGGGCTATGTCCTAGGAATCAAAACGACTATGTCCCAGTGGAGCGGCCTCTCTTCTAGAAGTCGTGCTGCTGGACTCTTTCGAACCGAAGCAAGCTGTTACACTCATCGCAACTCATTTGTCGCATTGTTGCTCAGCACAGTTAGAGCTTCAGTGAGATGAACAAAAAGGCGGACCCAAAGCCACATCCTCGGCTTGTTGACAAAAAACACACACACGATGACTTCCTCATGGGGCGGCCGATTCCAGGGTGAATACATCACTTCAGATATCATCAGATCAAAAGCCAGCAGATTGAAGGAACTCAGGATTCCATCACAGCAATGCACTTCCCAGAATTTGTTCCGTCCAATTATATATTTTGCAGGCAGCAGCTAATTCCAGCATGTTTGCATATCTTGTCTGAGTGCACTTCTTCCTCACTCATTTTTGTGCGTCCTTCGTGAGAAGCCAGGTTGGGCCGGCGGCGAGCATTGAGACTTTGGCTGGTAGAGCTTCTCTATTGAAACCCGAGAATTGCAGTCGAAAAGGAATGACCTTGGCTTGCGCAGAGATGGAAGAGCGCAGACAAAGATGCACATGAACTGTCTTAGAACGACATGTTGATCCAGAAACTGCACATCAAACATCAACGACATGTTGTTGTTATTCTTTTCGATGTGCGGTGTTGAGTCCTCCCTCAACTCTCGCTGAGATCCCCCATCCGCCCAACGAGCCATCCGCTGCAACGCATCGTGCCGAGGTCCATGTGCCTTCAGGTCAATGGATCAGCTTGAGCCATCCGAATGCAACGGCCTCAGCGGTCTTCCGAAAACACCCCGCCGTTGGTGTCGGTGTGGCGAAGGATCGGTCGGAACCGAACCCCCGACGACTGCGGTGACACGACTGCGGTGAACCCAACGCTGCGGTTCTTCCCGACGTAGAGGCGCGTTGAGTGTGCAACGAAGGAAGCCATGAAGGCAAGTGCTGTTCTTCCAGTCATTTTGCCAGGTTGGAGCCTCGGAGCTCATGATGTGAACAATTCTGAACAATTCGGAACACGTGTCCAGTGAAATCCATATATCACCATATTGTATCGGAATCAGATCCATTTGGGACCCACTTCCCCGTGCTTGGACCTACCCAGGCCAAGTTGATGCTGGGCTTGCTGGGAGGTCGCGCCGAGGCGAGTGGTTCGGTGCTTCGGCTTCGATTGGTTCAGGGTGCAGTTGTGGGATGTGAACGAAGGAAGAGAGTACGTAGTACGTAGTAGCGTCCTTGCTCCTACTTGTAGTAGCGATGCCAGGAGCCCCTAGTAGCGAACATTGCTCCTAGTAGTAAGGTCAGGAGCCCGTAATAGCTTCTTGTTCTTAGCATTCTAAATATAGTATTTCTCTTTATCGAAACTTGCCATGGTCACTTCCATCGCTATTTCGGGGGAGGCCATCGCCATTAGGTTGAACTTGCCATTGTTGTATATACGCCTTCATCCAGCTTTCAGTGCACAACAGTCTCGGTTGTGCCGCTGGTATCACGTACTCAGCAGTCAGCGGAGGGCAGTGGACCCACACCAGTGGGTACACACACGGGGCATTGGATCTGTGGAAGATGGTGTCAACTAGGGAAACTTCCCAGGCAACGACCCCCTGGGAAGAGCAAGCATAGGCTGAAACTAATGTCCGGCTTGCAACACTTCTGTCAGCCAGTTCATCTCTACGTCCATCGAACGTCGAACGGGAGGACCAGTGGGACATTTAGACGAATCACGATGAGAGGCCTGGTTGGACATGGACACCGAGAGAGAGTCCGAGAGGAGGCATGAACCAATGTGCAAGGTATAAGCAGGAGTTCATTTGTATGTGCTTAATTGGACAGGTTTCGCTCTTGTATATATGAGTCCTTCAAGTCCTTGAAGTTCAGCAGATCAATTGCAGCGCTCGTGTGTGGAGTCCTTCAGAATTCTCAAGAGCTCCAAGCAGCAAGGAGAATGCAAGCAGATATACCTGCCCTATAGGTATAGGTGTGGTGTTTCTCTCCTTCACCCCAAAGAGCGCTGCCCAGTGAGGCACTTCACAGCCGCCTGTGACACACAGATCGGCAAGGAAGACGGAGTGACCCACTGATCCGAAGGTGTTTTTTTTCCGCTTACTACTAGCTTCTTGTTTCTAACAGCAAACATTGTTACTACTAGTAAGGCACCTGTTACTACTAGTAAGGCACCTGTTACTACTAGCGTGACACTTGTTACTAGAGTCCTCGAGTCGGACATACCTGGCATCCTCAGACGGGTACGGTATACGCTACTCCGAGTAAGCCCCTGTTTTCTTGTTTTGTCTTGTTTTGTGTTGTTTTAGAAGCATCTTTTTGGTTTGGGTCATGTCATCTTCTAGCATGACCAAGTACAGCTGTCTGAATCCATTGAATCAGCTGCGCGCGAAGGATGGAACCGCTGAACAGAACCGTCATTGGGTCGTGTCACGCCGTGTCAGCTGGTTTTATAAGTGCAACAGCGGTACTCAATAATCAGAAGAAGAAGTGCCAGCGTCCCTCAAACGTCCCAGAAAGGAATGTTCAAAACTTGAAAGGAAAGCCCTTTGTTCAAAGTACCTTTGCAAAGCACTTTCATTTCAATTCACGCTTGACATCACTAGGGCTTTTGCTTTTGAACCTCAGAGCACAGTTGTCATCGCAAGAAATCTCCAATGTCAAGTTATGTCCATCGTGTTTTCCAAGGAGCTATAGATCTGTCCGCGGACACGGAGCCCGATGGATGTTCAGCTCAAAAGCTATATATATATATATCATTTGAGTGGTGCCGTGCCGTGTGTGGGAACACCGGTCCGATCATATGTCCGAGACTGAGGGGTGAGACCGAGATTTGATGATTGCATGTTGACCCTCGTAGAAAAACACGGGTCGCACCAGTCAGTGATGCTGCTCTTTTTTTGCAGCGCGCCAAGCTATGCGCCATGTTGCAGATCTTTGTTCTTTAATGCGCTGGCGGAATTATGTGATGCACGCTTGAAAAACAAGCCAAATCTCCTTGGCACATTACTGGCTTTCCACCCACGTTGATTGGAAGACAGGAAGTTCCCCATTCCCATTAATCAGTGCTGACCCGATAAATATTCACGAGTCCTCTCAAACGTGGCTTTGAGGTTGACCCTCCATGTGTTGATCATTGTTGATCCCCTCAAAAGGCTGCACCTCATGAGTTGTTTCCGTGTTTGAGTTTGGCTTTCCTTTGGCTCACTTCAAAAGTGTTCAGGCCCTTTTCTAATTTGTGCCTGGAGAAAGAATAACCTACTCAGCCCTCTTCCTTGAGTTGCCTTGTTGGCATTCTACCATTCAATAATTAGTTGCAGACCCCACACACTTTACTCTGTTGTATGCTGAGAACAAGAACTGAGTATGCCAGACAAACACCATCTCAAATAGAAGTCTTCATCTTGGCTGTCTTCACTGTGCTCAAGCCCACAAGCCAGTGTGCCAACCGCTGCAGGTTGCAGGTTGCAAGACTCTTCCTTCCTACACGCCAGCATGCGACCAAGTACCAAGTACCATGCATGGCGAACTCGGCCACATCGGTGAGCCCTGCCACCGTGGCTTTTCGGGCCAGTCGCGTCCGCGCATGAGCCCTCTGGAACTCGGATCGAGTTGAGCCCTTCGAATCCTTCGAAGTCCGGGCCTCTTTGTGTCCTGCCCCTGCCAAAGTGGTCGGCGTACGAGAAGGACAGGTCGTTGGGATTCCGGTTTGAGGGGATGGAGGCCATCGGGGTAATTATGCCCTTTGCAAGACAAGACCAGAACACCCCCTTCTACAAAGCAAAGCGCGTCAAAAAACACAAGGGTGCTATACTGGTCACATGCGCGTTTTCTTCACAAAAACCAGCGAAAAAAACGCCACATCCTTCCTTTTTTCCGCGACGATCCGGCACCACTCGTGTCCGATTCCTAGCGGCCCGCGGAGAACGCGACGCGGCCGAATTCGAGGATCCTGCACCGATGTCGATGTGCCCGTCCTGCATTTTCCGCGATGCAAAGGATCCGGGTGGTTCATTGTGCAGTTGCAGTTTTTCGACGGCGGTCGATGATGTCGATGGTGCCCGTCCTCTTCTCTGGGCGGTCGACCAAAGAACATCTTGGACATGACCAAGTGATACCAAGTGGCTATTTGTACACAGATCCTTTAGCTGATGTAGGCTGCCATGATCCCCACGACTTCTAGTATCCCCCCCAAGTCCATTCTATTATACTTTTCCACAACGACAAAGATGACAAAAGCAAATTACCAAGAGTGCCTACCAAGCAGAATCTTGGGGGTCCATTCCGACTGGTCTGGCGTTTAAGGCTGTGGTTCCTCCTCCTCCCCTGTACGTGTTCCAGGGTGCTTTCAATCTTCGCACCAGTGAAGTGGTGAGTCCAGCCAGAAAGAAGGGTGGTACGCAGGTTCCTTCCTTGTGAAGTTGTAAGTCGAGCAACTTGGGGTTTCAGGCTCAGGCGGCTTCGCACTACTGTTCACACCGGAATCATATGCCACCTGATAAGTGGCCACCACTGCAAATCCGTTTCAGTCTGAAAAAGCCAAGATCTCCGGCCCAGCGCCGGAGAGTCGGTGTTTGTAGCTGTTTTCCTTACGACATGTGTGACAGAGAATCTTTCGTCATCCAATCCCTGTCATCCAATCCGATTTGGGCGGTAGGAGGCTGCGGACGGGCCGACCAGACGGGTTGAATCGACGGTTTCATGGTACCGTTCTTAGAG